GTGTAGGTTTTGAAGTAGAAGACAGGGAAAAGCCTTTGTGGAGGTACCGATTGCTCACTCGGATGTCGTTCTTCCGGCTGTATATGCACCGAAAGGCACGGCCACAGTGGATTGATTCGACATGATTCGACACTGGGTTCACGGTGGCGACAACGAGTATACGCAGATCCCGCGTCGCTGCACGATTGTAAATTCTTGGCTGTCTTGAGATTTTGCTGTTTTCGCTTGTCAGATGGTGGCCCAGTGGCGTCGACATTCAAAGGCACATTGCTTAATCGAGATTGCTTTCATGCTTCCGCCCGAACTGCCCAATCTGCGGAAATAGCAATCCCCTGACCACAGCATTCCCACCGATGGTCGGAAGGTGCTGCCGCTAGTTTTGGGGTTCTGCAGCACAGATCCCTCAATGACATAATCATGCATGGCTCCAGCGATTTTCGATAATTTAGTCAGCCCTCAACGAAACTCTTGAAAAATGCGTCGAGGATGCATCCTTCTGCCGGAAACGCGCCAGGCCTGCCACCAGGGAGGAGGTGTTCGGAGTTTGCCTTGCAGAATGAGCGGGCTTGTATAAAAATGAGCATCTAGCACCCTAGTCTGAGATGTTCTGAGATTTGGCGAGGAAATGTCAGGGTTCCGGCGGCTCGGGGTATGTGTTGGAGGCTCTGTCGAGGGAATGTGACGTCTGCAGTCTTGCAAGGCTGGCCCGGACCTGCTTCTTCTCTCGACCTACTCTTCTGCAGCCCATGCTGGAAGTGAAGGACATCATCAGAGCAACGTTCGTGGTGGCGTTCCCTACTGTCTTGTTTTTGCACTCACCCCATGCCCCGCGCGGAAGGAGATGGTTTCCGAGGCTCGACGATGTCCTGCTCGCGCTGTGTTTGCAAGCTCCGCAGTACAAAGCGGTGCAGAGAGCTGGAATCCACAACAAATCTCCTCCTGAGAGCAACCTCAAGCAGTGTCAAGTAAAGTGTTTGAGGTATGGTGTTGTTTGTGCGAATGTACGCCCATCCGAATGCACGCATTGCATGACTTGCATTACATGCAGAATTCACCATACCGGACCATACACCATCATGCCTAATACAAAAACAAGTGAGCGCATTGATCCTTGACGAATGTCGGCATTTTGCTGCCTGTCATGATTTGCTTGAGTAAGACCCTGACTCGATCCTTCCTGAAGTGGGAAGCTGATGAGCTGTGCATGCCCACTGAGACAGTGGATCCCATCCAGTCCCTAACAGCAAAGGGCATGATGAGGAATTCACAGGAGTGTACAACTATTACCCTGCTTCGTCGAATGAGCCATGCAGGAGGCAAAAAAAATACAAAAACACAATACAGCACAAAACAGCGTAGCATAGCATAAGTTGTATAGCCTTGTACATGGTTGTTTGTATGTCTGTATGAACGTAGGTGCATATACGCATGTCTATAGTGCACGTATGTAGATATGTACACTTACGCTCATTTATAATATTACAGGTATAATGTATGCAAAATCCGCATATCCACGTTCCACTTTTCGTTGTCAGTAGGTCGGGGCCGCGCCGCTGATCTTTTTCCCGAACCGCTGTGCACGCCTTGCCGGCTCCTCGGGCGACCCTTCAGGGCGCTTTTGGGGTGAAGACCAGGGTTCAAAAGTGACATACGTGGATGTGTGCAGTGGCCTTGGTGTCCATTGCCTTGGCTCGGAGCGGTTCCACCTGATCAACGCTTGCAGCACCGTGCTTCGCAATGTGTTCGTAAACCCCGAAACTCGAAGCCCACTGAGACCCCAACTCGTGCATATTGTGGAACGGAGAGTGTCTGGAAAACTTACAACCCAGCTCCCAGCCGGCACTGGCTGGAGTGAAAGTACCCGTGTTGTTGAATGCGCTGGTAGTTTTCTTGCAGGGTATATGATCCGATATCAACATCACTGTGGGCCTATGCCTCGCTTGCACGTCCCATTCCTGGCGCACCTGAACCCAGGAGGACTTCACCTCAGAGGTGGAATCACAACTTGTCCGGGAGGGCCCAGAAGCCGGTGTCTTCCATGTCGGGGCCCAAACTCGGGACAGGACCATTTGAGTCCGGGGCTTGCGCATTCAGATGCCAATCTTTGAGAATGAAGAGAATGATGCTGCTAGAGTTCATGATGCCTATTAATTAGAAGTAGGAGAAGCAGGATCAGGATGCGGATGGCGACGACCATGAGCTCTTTCAATTCTACCACGACTTCTTGCTTCTTATGTTGTTGCTGATGATAGGATGTGGATTTCACTGCTACGTTGCCAACTGCTAATCTATATAGTTCTCGACCACGCGACCTTCCACCTGCCCCGCGCAGCTTACAATCATCGTGTCTAGAATTCAACAACATGCAAGGACCTGGAACGCCGGCGAGAGGCCATCGTAGCCGCACTGGAGGCGCATCTTCTGTGGTTTTGTTCTGTTACGTGCCGTGCACTTGGTTCAGGTTTCAGGGGCCGCAGTGGAACGGACAGCGTCTTCGTTATTTTAGTTCCGGTATTCAGGTGGCCCTTCACGTCATGGTCGACCCAGCCCCAGGGCCCGGTCCCGCTCCTGCTGCGCACGAATAAAGGATGAAATGATGGCAGCGACGACTTGTCGAGCCATTTTATGCCATCGCATTTGCGGCAAGGGGACAAAGAGAAGCAAGGAGAAGGCTCGCCCCGGCCAAGCTGGATCACCAGCGCGACAAACACGACTGCGATTACCACTACCACCCTGACGACGACGAATCTCCGCCCTGGTAAATCTTGCTGGGTTACCTAGTTAAGTCATCCTCACAACAGGCAGCCGCAGCAAGTGCAAGTGCGGGCGTCGGTGTATACCTCTGGCCCGATGCTCCGCAGGGCCTGATCGGCACAGTTCGCCGCCAGCTAAGAAACCGGGATGTTGGGTCTGGGGTTGAACCTACTTGTCCAAGAGTGGGTCTCAGAAGAGCCACAGAATGGCAACGCTGTCACAGCCCGCAAACCAGAAACATGACAACCCCGCAACATGCATCTGCTGAGCCCCAGAACATCCAGCAAGGAATGGGGCAGAACCATTTGGGCCAGGCTACAGTAGACCATAAGGTGCTGTCTAATATGCGATTACATACTACAGTTTATGAAAAGTTTCTTACGACTAGCCTAGCCGATAGATATGACTGGGTCCAAGCTATTCACGCTTAGGTCAGTCCTCTGACCTCTTCTGCAAGCGCCCATCTCAGCAAAGCCGTCACATGCCCTCCAATCGTGCGAGTGCACATGACGAACTCACGCTCTGCCTTTGATGGCTCCTTCAACTTGGCCTGCTGCCAGCCCCAGATGCATGCGAGGCGCAGAACATCTCAGATCAAGTCCTTTGCCAGCAGCCGCGTGCGGTCCATTGCCCAGGCAGCCATCTCTCCCTGCAAATTCTGTAAAAGTGATCGTGGCTTTGCTAAGAGTGTTTCGATGGAATTGAGAGAGTCGTTGTTGCCTTCCAGATGTTTGCTTACAAGGATGTGTTTTCATCTTGCCGCCAATTGGAAAGACACGTGAAACAACACAAAGAGACCTCTGGCGGTGTTTGTGACAGGACAAGCATGAGGCGAAGGAGCCTGCCGGTCGTGGCTATCACAGGGCGGACAGCTTCTTGGGTTCTGATATCTGCTTTGACACTCTGGTTGTGGACTTGTCAAGCTATAAAGGTCTGGTGACATGCTGTTTGCCGCGTTGTCCTTGCAGACGCACTACTCAAATTGACATAAGTACGCACACACACAACACGGTCACTGGGGTTGGCTTGTACATGTGCGCACACATAATTTGCGACATGGAGAGGTGGAGAAAATTTCGAAGTCTGCACACAGACGCTTTGCAGGAGCGCTTCCGAAGAGAGCAGATAGTCCACGAGGCCGGTGACAATTCGATGGAAAGCATTATCCCCGAACAGTTGTATGACTGAAGGTTATTTCCCGAAGCATACGTGTTTCAAAACCCAAAGGTTTAAAGCGAGAGGCGTTTCATCGTAAGATGATCAGACATTCGAGAAGTAGCTGGTGGCCCTGTCAGAATCTGATGCTGATGGATCCTATACATGTTCTGGGGGATACGCACGCTTCAGGGGCTAGCGAAGTGGCTCCAACCCCATGTCCTACAATTATGATGAGTTCCACTCGCACCGTCGAAGGTCCCTCTACCGACTGAAAGGATCAGAGGAGTTAGATGGAGAGTACGTGGGCACTGTTTTGATTTACCTATACCTATCCAAATTCCCGCGGTTCATGTATTCTAGCGTCGGGCGCTGCAGGATGAGGCCGCTATCCGTGGCTGCATTCGCCTTGCCGACTGCATGCTCCAGGCCTTTGGCCCGGATTGGTTTGCAAGGCTTCGGGCATAGGGCCTTGGTTTCGGAACGTACTGATGGGTCTTAGTTTCAAAGAACAAGCTTAGTACTGTACTGCCTAAACTAGGGACCCTAGAAACAAGCAGGCCCGTTGGACTGGCGTTTCAGGTTGCTGGCATGAGAGACCGGAGTGACTAAGCAGGCCGGGGCCCGGCTCAAATCTGATGGGCATCCATCTCGGCCTGCCAAAACCACCATGCGGTGACCCTGCAAAGCACCCCTCCCTCGCAGCAGAAGCATGTTGGACACCTTGTACCGGTCAGAGTCCAGCTTCCTGATCCTTAAGAGGCAAACTTGGCGGCCAGCGTGGCCTCAGCAGCAGAGGAGTATCCTTGACATATCCGGCGCAGTGCAGGGAGCCATTCACATTGTTCATTTTGTGTCCCAGACTCTTGGGGCAGAGGTTTGTCAATCCAGAAGGTATGAGAAGCAAACAGAAGCAGCATCCTTCCAGTAGAAACGGGTGGTTGCCTGGCAGGCCGGCCAGTCCGCCCGACCTTCGAGTGTTTGGCTCAAGCGGTGTGTAGGTGAAGCCTAAAGTAGCCAGGCACGGCAAACGAGGATCAAACCGCACCGAAGAGGGCGAACCCGGGCTCAAGGCCCTGGGAGTCTCTTCGATGGTGGCCTGGGCATGAAGAATGGTTGATTTCGCTTTTTGTTGGTTGGAGTTCCGGGTACGTGCATGTTGCGATGAGACGCAGATCCTTGCCTCCGAGGCTTTCGTTGATACAGGCATCACCGAGCCTGACTTCCAACAAGGCCGCACTTCTTCGAGTACTGCACGGATTTGGGCTTGGGACATGCTTTCTCTTTTGTTCTGGCTTCCCCTCTCCCCTCCCGACCAGAACGGATGTTTGTTACGATGTCCGGCTCATTGTCAGGACCTGGTTGAGCTTCGTGGTCCCCTCGCCATTTTCCCAAGTCCCAAAGCTTTTGCAGATTTGCAGCTGCAGCCCTGAAGGCCACCGTGTCCTTGATGCTGCTTCAGCTGCTGCGAAAGCATTGGATAGTTTGAGTCGCATGACATTTTCACCTCCCACGATCGTACACTTTTCGACCGTGATTCCACGTTCTCTGCTGCAAGAAGATGCACTAAGTTCTCGCTCCGAATCTTCGCCTGACTTCTCCGCAGCCTCGAATACTCCGAATTCAAGCCTGAAGCGGCTTTCCAGAGGTTTGGCTTCGGGAAGCATCTCGCGATGGGAAGCGTGCCATCGACCGGAAGAGCATGACTCTCGACTCAGCCGAGTTTAGTGAGATCCCCAATGGATTCGCACGGTGTGTACGTGTGTGCACCGGGCTCCTTTTTGGATTCGGATTCTGGTAACGTCGTAGCGATCAAACTGGTTCGCGATGATACGGATGGGGGCCCCAACGTTTGCTTTCAGCTAGAAGGGCCAGGGCTGCAGGTGTGGCAATCCGAATGGGCCTTTCAGTCGATCGCAGCCTTCGCGCTCCACCTCAGGAGCAGCACCTACGGTGGTTCTTTGTCTGCCAGAGCGCTGAACAAGATGTCCGCAGCTCGTCTTCACTCTCTTTGGTCTTGCTTGCCTGTCTGCGTGCTGAGGTGTGTTGTTAATGCTGGTCACTGCCTTCGCTACGCAGCAGAAAGTTACACTCATGAATTCCAGTGCACACACAGTTGAAAGGTTACATACAGTATGCTGCACACTGGTAACAAGGCAGAAATCCATCACTGTCGTTAGTGTCCAAGACCCTGTGTTGCCCAACTGGTATGCGGCGTGTTGCTGCCGTGCCTGAAAAGTTCTTGCAGCTCCAATGCCAGCAGCGCTTCGGCCGAGGATCCTGCGCAGAAAATCGTCGTATCAGCCGGCGGCCTCTCCGCAAGAGATTCTTGGCGTTTGGCCAAGGACACCTCCTTTTGGGGCTCGAGAGACTCCTAGATTCTCTGGATATCTCTGAGTGGGGTTTTCTCAGACGCAGGTGCTGGGGTCGTACAGGCTGCAACGAGTTCTCTAATTATGATTGGCTGGCTTTAAGGCATATACGTTTTTTATTTGCAAGGGCTGGGAGGCTATAGACTGCAAGAGATCACGAGGCACATTTGACAGTGAGCACCGTGCGGGCCTCCCATCGCCTACGTGATCCCGGTTAACCAACCGATAGATTCATTGCGAAAGGTTTTGCCAGACCTCTGAAGACGTGGGCTTTGCATTAAGTCGTTAAACGCACTGGTCAACAGCTTACTACAACCACAGCCCCGTTCTATAGTAAATCCAGAGCCAGTCGACAGGAGCCGGCACCGAAGCAAGGCGGTCTCCTCCTGCCGTTGACTCATGGCAGCTTTGGAATATGGGTCCCGGCTTCGCGATCGCTTTTCGGATGCCAGGCCTGGGCCTTGTGCTTGCCACCATTGTGCTCTATTCCCTGTTCCCCGAGAAATGGAGTCCCGAGGCCCACTCCTGTGGTCTATCGTACATTCACTCCTCCATACGTACGTAGATACATACACTCATACATGCATGCATGCATGCATACATGCGCATACACATACGAAGATGTTTGCTATATATATATATATATATATATATATATATATGCGTGTCTTAATACATTCGATCACAGCTTAACACTGGGACATGCCTGGTCCATTAAGCAAGACGGCTGAATGCTTCTGCATCTTCCACTGCAGCGTGCAGCAGTCCCATCGTCGGATGACGTGTCACTGAATGGATCGGGCCTCTTGCCAAGGACAGCTGACGAGCGCAAGTTGCAAGACTTGGTTCAATCCATGGCAAGCAAGGTGGGCTGAACTATAAATGTGAGTTTGGGGTGACTCAGGCAAGAAAGAAAAACCAAGCTAAGCAAGCATAATTATTGTGCAGCGGACAGTTTCAGTGCTCATTACCTTTTCAGCTGCACTCCCATGTGCCAGCTTGCTTGTCGCTGTGCTGCTCGGGACGATGCATGTCAATGCATGGCGCAGTGTAGTGGAGAGTTTCGAGCGTGGCTGTCCCAGGCCGCACTGCGTTTCGCCTCCATCAGCTGCTGAATAGCAAAAGGTATAGTCAAGATTTTCTGGGATCAGTGTGGACGTGAAGGGGTGACGGGGCACATCTTGGCCGAAGCATGCACTATACCGGAGCAAGTGAAAGTCTTGTGTAGCGGCACGAACAGCGCCATTAAAGCCATGAGGGTATACCACGCACATGCTGCAGGAAATAAACGGCCTGTAGATTGAACGGCATAGTCGTCGGACTCACGTCTCCGACGCTTCCACACCATCGCAGGCTCCTCCCATCGTGTACACTTTACCGCCGCCCACTCCTCGTTATTCGTGCCTGCTGATAAGTGCCAGCCGTGGCCACATCTTATGTAAACCGCATGACAGCTCGTGTGGGCTACAGCTGGCCGTCGCCCAGGTGACGTCTTTCGCGGGCTCGATCCGGACCGGGATGGTAAGATTGACCGCAGTGAGCTCCGTCCCCTGGCTAGAACTTCCGACACAAATGGGCACTGCAAGGAGATTCAGAGACGGCGAGAGCATCTTAGGCCTCAGAGGTCATGGCGTGGTTGAACATCTTTTGTGGCAGCCTCCCTGTGCAACCTCAGGCCATGAGCCCTTGACCACCCAAGCGTCATTCGTCGAGTTGAATGTTTGTCACCTGAGCTCCGGGAACATCAGCCTCGGTCTGATAACGCTCTCCCAGGGTCCCGCTGCAGGTACATAGCTCGCAGCTACGCTAGCGGCGATATGTGCCCATTGCACTCGTCCTCTTCGTCGTCGTGGTCGAATTATTTCAATGGCAGTAATACTAGTAGTCGTCGTCGTCGTAGTCGTAGCGGTCATCGGTGCGGGTGGAGCTGGTGGTGGGGGTGGAGGTTGGGGTAGTCGTGGTGGTGGTGGTGGTGATGGTAATAGTGGCCTGGTAGTGGTAGTAGTAGTAGGAGTGGGAGTCGTGGTCGTGGCAGTGGCAGTGGTAGTGGTGGTGGTGGTGGTTGGGAGTGGGCGGGAGATTGCGGGTACGGACAGTAAGAGGTCAGGGCAAGGAAACAGGAGCAGTGGAGAAAGCGGGCGATAAGTCAAATTAATAATACTTCCTCACTTCCACTGTCATAGTAATTATTCGGAGTGGTTTGGGACATTTGTCCTATCAAATCCCACCTAGGCTATTTTTTCCGGACCTGTGGGCAGACAGATGCAGTCGCAGACGCCAGGTCGCACAAAGGAGAACGCAGTCCATACAGCGATACCTTTATCTGCAGCCGAGTATGCCCATGCATGATTGTTTGTGGAGTTGAGCACACACCGGTCGCCCAAGCGGGGATTTGCCTTACAGGGAACCCTAGCTTACAACACTTAGAACTGGCTGAGGACATGTTCTGGAAGCACTTGGGTGCTGCGGAGACTTGTGATCTCTTAGACTATGACCTCCTCGTGACACGGCATTGACAGGTTGCATTCTTCACACAGGGCGCATAGCCAACGTGGCTGTTGTGATCCTTCCTGTTTCTTTCACACACACACAGACACATGTATCACATGTGCAAGTATGAAAATTTGTCTACGTGGGGGTGCAACAGGGGACTGGTGTGGGCTCCAGCAGCTACGATTCTGGACCCTCGTGCTCGATGTCGTTGAAACCCCTGACTGCGAATGCTGCAGTTGCGACTGCCGATCCTCATGCGTTCTCCCATCACAACAACGGAATATGGCATAGTCTCCAGCACCCAGCAAGCCATTTTAATGCAGCGCTGTGCACGAGCGTTCATACATGTGTATATGCACATCGTAGACGCCCCAGTCAGTATGTATGTGCATACGTGTGCAGGCACAGGGGAACATCGACGTAGGCAGGAAAGAGTGCCCGTATGTGCACTTGAATGCTGGCCTAAGTATGTGTGCTGCATAGTAGCTTTTAAACCTCTATGTGCATGAAATAGTGACCCTTGGTTTGGGCGCAGCCGTCCCTCCCATGCAAAATTCAGCCCTCATAAGGTGTTTCCAAGATGCACCCTCTGCAGCACAGTTCCAGCTGCAATTGCTCCGTTTCTGTAATCAGCTGTCCAGTGCCCACATGCCGCAGCCAGTGACTTGATGATTTTTCGACCCGAGAGAATTATGCTCACCGGGGAAAGCTTGCCATGGTCCAGTAACGATGCACATTCACAATACATAGCGTGCACAGTGTGTCCCGTGTGGCAGAAGTATCATATCACATTTGGCCTTTTGAAAAACTCGGATATAGTGATTTTATCCTAGACCCAGACTTGAGAGTCAGAAAGACCCGAATTAGTATTATACACAAAGCACAAAGAACGCACGGCTTTGTTTAATTTGCTTGTTTTGTCTCTCCACCTGCACCTGGGATCGAAGATAGGTGTGGAAAAAGATTTGGCTCATGATGGATGATTCGACCCCTCATATGGCCTAACAAATTCGAATAGCCGTGCAGCATCTTGCAAGCCGCGAAACTGTGGAGGATACACCCGAATCTAAATCATAGAAGCTGACGTTCTACATGCCAGACATCTCGTCCGGATCGTGAAGCGGTGAGAGTCGGAAAAAGGTTAAACTCCAAATCCACAGTCGTGGACTTCAATCATCCTCGAACCCGAACCAAGCCTCGATTCGCTAAAGGTAAGCTTCATGCGCCCGTTTCTGGTCGCTGCATACCAGGGAGTTGGGCCAAGGTGGGCTGGCGGAGAAAAGCCTAGCGGCTACTAGAGGCCTTATGGACTTGGAGCCTAGCGGACAACTTTTCGGATCTTTTGGCGTTGTAGGGGTTCGGTGTACGGGACTATCGGGGTGGTTGGTTTTTCTCTGTGGTCTTGAATGTGCGGGTCAAGAAAGTTGAGGGAGAAACAATTCTGGGAGATGGTTTTACTAAGACGGAATTCAACAGCTATGAGTTGGTCCTGCTCTGCGAACACCTAAAAGCCCGAAGACCTTCGAAAACATATGAGTAGATGCAGAAGAGACTGGAATACTGCCCTTTTCGATCTTCAGGCCATGACGCCGCTTAAACGGCTGGCAAGGTTTCCGCCTCGCAGTATAGCGTTAGAAGAGACACTGTACAGGCGGGAGGTTGCAGTCGAGAAGGAGACCAAGCAGGAGCGTACCGAGCAACTGGATGCGGTCATACCCTCGGCCGAGCAGGGATTACGGAAGGAGTTTACGTTGGAGTTATTCGATTCTGCACATGTTGCACCCAGCGTCCGCCTTCAAGCGTATAGCCTACCGGCGAGTTGAACAGTAGCTTCCAGTACATACGAAGACAGTATTACCAGTCTTTCAACATGTTGCTCTTGTTTTGTTTTTTGTCATGTGTGGATGGTTTGCAATCCGGCCCACGTTCAGATAGACATCGAGGACGGTATTTAGCAACTCTGCCAACTCTGTCAGTTCTGGCATTGCTGGACAGCCCACAGCCCATCCTGTGCCATGCACGCTTGCGTTGACTGATCATGACATGTGTTTCCACTGACGCCCTTCTTTCGTTATGACACGCACCTTTCTGGCAGTAGTTGCTTGGATGTGTAGTTGTTTGCTCGCAATGCGTAGTGAAACAGCGCCCGTATTGCTGGGCCGGGTCCACAATTAAGACGTGATGTTAGATGGAAGTGTTCCGATCCTGCAAAATACTTAAGTACGCTAAACATAAGGAAATACAAATCACTGTGTTTTCAACATACAACTTGGTCGTATAAAGATAGAAAATAATCAGTGAACAACAGCAACAAACAGTATCTCAAACATAAGATAGAATAGACATCAGCAGGTAAACCACCTGAGCGTAGCAAAAACACAGGGAAATAGGTAATACACATGGGGAAATTAATATAAAAGAACAGTGTGTTTGCATCAATTACGTTTCTGTTTTTCCACATGCTGCCTAGTGGTTTTGCTATTTTCTGGCGTTTTGCTTTGTCGTTCTCGTTGTGTTCCATAATTGTTGGTTTCATGTTTGTCCTTTTCCTACTTTTTTCACACTCCCCCGGACCCCTTCATCTCCGATGTTTCTGCCGCCCAGTTCCCATAATATTTTGGGAGATCGTACTCGTTAGTCCTACTTATATTTCCTGGTCTGTTTGAATTGATCTATTGTGGAATTTTGCCACTCTGTGCTTGTCATTCCCGTCCTAAGTCTACAACCTGCAAACCTTCGACTTCGAGCACCCATACTTCAGTGCTTGAGGTCAAAGTCGAATTTGCTGAGTTACTGGCGGCGGTCAAGAACAAGGACTTGCTGACCATGCTTAACTTAAGCTTTAAGCGAAGCTGAAGGCCGACAGAGCGACAGAGGGTTGGAGGATGTAAATATCATATTGTGCGATGCCACAGAATGCCTGGTGTATCCTGTGTCGTCTCTTCCTTTACACTATGTGCGGGTGGCTCTTGTGTCATATGTTGCGTGTAGGTTTGGATCAGGTCATGTGTCAAGCAGTGCAATGTGGCTGTCGGTTTGGGACAATTCCTGCGGCACCCACGTGGTTGACTCTTGAGTGTTGAAGCTGCAGCACTTGACCTTGCCGACAGTCGTCGCAGAGACGCAACATCGGGGTGTCTACTTCCTGACTTCTAGCCATGCCTTCAGCTTCGACTTGCGATGCCTGTACATGTGACCATGCATGTGAGGGCAGGTTTTCGTTGCTGCTTTGGTCAGAGGCACTCATGAAGATAATGATGCTGTTCGACCGAAAGGTTGATAGCGAAGATGACACGAGTAAAGACACACTGCTATCAGCTCCTATCGTAATTCGTAGGCGCTACAAGCTACAGTCTGCTACAGTCTGCAAAGTTCACGATTATGATTGCAGGCCAGGGGGTTCATGCAGCCGAAGAAGGCCTACCGCTGTCTCGGCAACCGGGCTGAGAACGTGGGAGTGTTAGCTTCGAAGTTGCCGCAAATACTCGCTGTCTGACTGGGAAGCATCCGTGCACGACACACCAGTACATCTCTTAGATACTTGTAAACAGTGTGTTTGTGTGTGTGTGTGCGTGTGTTGTCTAGTGCTGGTTGCAGGTTTGTGCGCAGGTAAGCAGGCAGGCAAGTAAGCGGGTAGTAGCAGCAACATAGTGGCTGAAACCTTTGGAACGATGGCAACCTGTCAACTCAATTCACTCCTTGGTTGTGCTGCTGTTTGAGCTAAAGCTCAATAATGAGCCCAATTAATCCAAGAGTTCAACACCTCTTGATGGGAATTGTATAAAGTACCGTGGTAGTCACCGGATGATGCGTCGCCAGGCAAGCCTAAAAGCTGAGGTACACCGGGGAAGGACCGCATAACGAAGAACGAGCTGCACAGCTGCAGACAATCGTTTTCACCCACACCCCAGGCTTTTGGAATGAGGGAGCGAGCCCAATGTATTGCACACTGCAAGTCTTCAGGAATACCACCTGTGATACGTTGAGTAGCCATTTTGCAGAACAGAATCTCAGTGGTCGTCATGACAGTTCCCTTTATACAGTGCTGCTGCAGAGCAAGATTAGGAATTATGCATGTTTGTGAGTGGCGATGCTATCGAGGATCAATGATGATGCGGCCGATGATGCATGGTGTATGAACAAGGTGTTGCTTGTGGTGGGTCGACAATGAAAAGGATGCACAGGATGGTATCAGTGACGGTCCTGGCAACGAAGACGACGACGCTTTCGCTGCCGGTGGTGGTGACTGGTGGTGGTGATCGCAGAGGTGACGCTAACAACGACAGCGGGATGATGCAGAGCATCGTCACGTGAACGGTCGCGACTCCCATCACGACGGTGGTGTCTGTGGTCGTGAAAGCATGAAGACGACCAGCCTGATGATGACGATGTCAGTGCTGGTAATAGTGGGCCGGCCTGTTAGTTCAAGCTCAGCCAGGTGATGCCAGAAACCCTCGTGAACAGTTGAAGTATGGATCCTTGGCTCAGGAATCGTGCCTTCTTCCGGTGTTTCAACCTGGCTGGTGAGCAAGCCGAAGCGTTCTACGACCGCCTTGCAGAGGCTGCATGGTGAATGCGACAAAGACGACGACAGCTACTGCTACAATACACAGCACTACCCCTGCTGCTGCAGCATTTGCTGCTCTGCTATTGCGTTGACACAGATGACAACAGTTAGCAAGGACGATTGTCAATGTTATAGTTCCACAGCCACAACAGCACCAACAACATTGCTAACGACAACACCAACCACCACCAGCACCACATCTACAATCACCACCGTCACAACGGCAACAACAACAACAACAGCAGCTGGTGTTCATGGGCTGGCTTCAAGTTACCAGCCCCGAGACCATGATGCACAGAATGAGTGTCTCTGTGCTTCGTCCCCAAGAGTTGTTCGGCACCTTAACTTGAGAAACATAAATGCATTGCTCCAAGACCTGAGATGCATAGCTTGTGTACACTCCCGAGATGCAAAAACCTCCAGAACCCGCAATCCGCTAAACGTCGAGGTTGCGCGCGTCTTTTTGTCCCTGAACAGGTTGGCTCTGGCGAGGTGAGCCACTCTTTGTTTGCAGAGGCCTTCCTTGGAAACTCTCCGACGGCAGTATTTCCAGAACAGCTGCTAGATTCGACTCTGCTTGTAACTTGACAGTTATGGTGGCTGTTGGGTCGGGTGCCTCTTCGGAGGTTCCCTTCTGCACAAATCTTGGAATGCTGGAAGAGCAAGGCACATGCCCTTATCCTCAAACCCCAATGGCCGCTTTGGCTCAGGTCAAGAGCCAAGTTTAGCCGACCTAGCTCAGTGCCTTTTGTCCCGTCCGCTCTCCCGAAATGAAGTCGTTCCTGGCACTCTTCGTGGTGGGAGCCGTTGCCTTGAAGCAGGGCTCGCTGAACCTGCTGAGGCTGCCCATCAACTCCGACAGCGACCTCGACTTCGAGGACACGCTGGTGGCGGCCCTCCGCGCCTCAAAGGGCCGGTCCAGCCCGGAGACCAAGGCCTTGGTGGACAAGATCCAGCAGCTCTTGAACGATGCCAAGCCCTCGATCAAGAAGACTTTGGATGGCATGCAGGCCACCTTGACCAACGCGGGCAATGCCATGTCCGATTGCGGTGGTCAGGAGATGCAAAAGAGCTCCACGGCCTTCGAGAAGAACTTCACGACCAAGAGCGCAGCCCACAAGACATGTCGACAGACTCAGAAGCAGAACCTCGATGCGCAGAACACCTGCCAGACCGAGTTGAAGACAGTGACAAGCACCGCCAAGACGACATGCGATGCGCTGGTTGCACTGGAGAAGACCATGTACAGCGCAAAGGACTCTTGTGAAGTGAAGTCTGGCGAGGCCTTCGAGGCTTACCACGCACGGCTGATCGAGGCTTCGCAGAAGACTCTGGCAGAGTACAAGAAGCTCAAAGAGGGGTGCGCCACAGCCAAGAAGGAGTTGGAAGACAAGGGACCCGAGTGCACCGTCGCATTGAAGACCTACGAAAGCCAGAAGGAAAACTGCGACAGCGTGCAGGATGCCATGGACAGCCTTTCTTGCTCCCACTACGAGGCGGCGACTAGCAAGTGTGAGGCTTCTGGAACGTGCTACGACAAGGCTGTCGCCAACTACGAGTCTGTCCAGACGTCGTCCATGACCCAGCTTGACAGCTTGAAGAAGGAGTCGGGGTCGTGTTAACAACTTTTAGGCTTAAAAGGTTTGAACGTAGCTTTAACATGTTTGTTTGGCAAGCCCGAGTTGCGAGAGTGTAACTTAGACACGTTTAAACTTGTTTGACCAGTCGGTGGATGTTTGTTTGTTAGACCAGTGTCGTCGCGAAGAGACGTTCCTTGTTTAAGCATGTGAGTGATTAAACATGTTCAACCTACCTGTGCCAACTCCCCGAGTGCGAAACAGTTCCCTGAGTGTCACAAATTCCGAATGCATTAAAACCCTTCTGTATACACATCTGCTTAAGTAGTTCCTGTCCGGGAGTGCCACACATCTCGATTCTGTTTAAGCCCCTGCTTAAACACATGTTCAAACAGTTGCCTGAGTGCCACACATCCGGAATGCGTCTAAACCATTATTTAAACATCTGTTCAGTTCCCTGAGTGCCGTACACCCGCAATGTGTTTAAGTCAAAACCCATGTTAACATAGATGTTTGAACAGTTCTCTGAGCGCCACACATCCCCAGCCGCGTAGGGTCAAACACTTAGCCTCGAGTTTGATGCAAGCTTAACCTGGTTTAATCATTTTTGAACGGTTTAAACATGTCTAAACTTGGCTGGTCAGAGGATTGCACGAATGTGTTTGAACACGTATCTTAAGCATGACTCGTCAGACGGTGTCATCGGTTGAAACATTCAGCATTCAAACATCGGTCCGCTTAGTCAAACATGTAAGCAATATACCCCCGCTGGAAGGAGTGGCGCGCCATTTTGCGAATGGAGTGCATCATTCAGGTCTTCAATCTCGAGGAGTCTCAGAGGGCCAGCGCCATTGACAGCTGCCAGGCGAAGGACATGAGCAGACAGGCCGACAGCGACCTCCCGCTGCAGCTCTCCACTATCCCCAACAAGCCCACCTGCCACGTCCCTGCGAACAAGGCCGGCAGTGCAGGATATGTGCAGGCCAACTTCGACGGCCTGCCGGCGGACAGCCCGGCCAAAGCCTGTGTTGCTTCCTGCTGCCAGCAGCCATCTCGCGGCACGTCCGGCTTGGACTTTTCGGGACTCGGCACAACACCTTCCGGCGACTGGCACCTGGCCCTCAACATCGATACGAACGATGGCAATGTTGTGTCGTACATCAACACCGACTTCTGGGAGTCCGCGACAGCCCTGGGTGGCGCCAGCGACAAAGTGGGAGACCGCTTCACTCGGGACTACAAGGACATGGATGTCTTCAACAAGGTTCAGGCCAAGCAACTGCTGATCGTCTGCCACAACGAGGGCAAGGCGCTTGGATGGCGCTCCTGGAAGCTGGTCGACACCAAGACGCTGCAGGGCTGGTTCACGATCGGCAACACTTGCTCTACAGGGCTTCAGGAGAAGAAGTTCCAGATGGCTGTGGAAACCACCGGTGGTGACGTGGGAACCCTCGTCAAGAACGAGCCCCTCATCAAGAACACGATCGACGGCACCGATAAGCTCTATGTGAACTCAAACCATGAGAATGGGGACTTCGACTTCAATCGGCTCTCCGTGAACGTCGACGTCAACTGGTCCGGAAACTTTGGAGCCGGCCTTGGCACCCAGTACGACACTCAGATGATCAGTGGGGGCAACAGCTGTGGCAAAACATCACGGCCGCAGGCAGATGCGGAGATGCGAACGGAGCGGCACCACTGGGGCAGCGATGGCGGCATAGGTGGCCTCATTGGTTCGGACCACCTCTGCAACGAAAACTGCCCATGGACGATCAGCTCGGGCTACGATTACGACTATGCCATCTTTGTTCTGCCATAGTCGGCTTCCCAGAAACTGAGTCGCGACGGGAGGTCCGATGTTGCATTCGCCTGGATGTCAAAAAGGACCACGGTCAATGTCTGGACGACACAGTACACAGCATTGCTGCCATGAGATCGGCCTGAGAGCTATGCAACCTGCACGCATAAACCCTTCTTGGCACAGGCTCTCAACGATTGCTTTGTCCGTGAACCAGACTATGGCTCATTCAGGCCAAGCAGTTTCATTGCGAGGGTGACGGTATTGTCATAGAGTAACCCTCATTCGTACTAATGTCTAAGTACTGTATACTACCTTTACTTCCCCGAAGGCCCAATATGTGGATTCCCTGTATACCAACCCCAGCAGCTCATGATTTTTGAGTTTCGATAGCAGGATTCCGAAGAAGAAAGAGCTCCCGCAAGCCCCGGCTCTGGATGAGGAGGCTCCGGAGGAGCCAGGCACTCATTCGATGAGGAAAGCGCTGGAGAGCCTGAGAGCCGTGACATGTAAACCGACCTAATACAAGAGGCTTGGGCGGCTTAGCAGGCTTGGCTTGGAAAGGTTTATGTTGGCGGGACGAAAAGTAGTCTTAGTGAGGGCTAGGGTTTGGGGCATGGTGTGAGCCGCAATAGCCCGCAGTCACCAAGCGCCTCGAATTCTTGCCTGGCTTTCCGCATCTCGAAGAAACCGTAAGTTGGCCCCAACTTGAACGGATGTGTTTCTTCGCCGTGTCACTCAAACTTGGCATGAGACCCTCGGTCCTCGGCCGTTTTCATCTCGTAGCCCGAGCTCAGAGTTTGCCCTCTGAGGCCAGCCTGGAGCAGGCTGAGAACCTACCAACCAGCCGAGGAAAGCACAGACTTGGTCTTCGTGATCTTCGCTTTGAGAATGGGTTCTTGTTCATTTCCAGATTCTCCTGCTACACAATGGGGTTGGTAGGGATGCGGAGGTGATGCGTCCGGATGTAAAAAATTTTGCCAACTTCCGCAGGCGCGGAATTCTGCAGCTAGCTAAATCCCAACAATGCCCAGCTGCAGAGTCGTGTGTTCTGATGCGCTGGTCTTCTGGTGCAATGACCCGCATGGTACTGCATGTAAGGGTTTGCATGGGTCACTATACTCGAAAAGGAATCGGTTTCAGTCACGTTGACCTTCATGCAAGCAGGCAGGCTCTGTCAAAAAGCTACGTGCAATGCTCAGTGGCAGTGGCAACCTAAAGGAATCGGCTGTCCGCCTCAGGAGACGCTGTTCAGTTTCAAGCAAACCGTGGACAGCAAGCTCCTCAAGGAACTCCGGGAGGTGATGCGCGCAGCCCGTCATGCAGAAAGCTGTTTTTTGAAGGGCTGGGCATTCTTATCTCAGGGAGTTCTCACATCTCTATGCACCCCTCGGCTCTTCAGGATATCGGCCACAAAGTTCGGATGAGCTATAAGCGCCCTCGTGATGCTCTTCGCCCACTGGATCTGCAGAAGGAGTGGAACGAGGGCTCGAAACAGAGTCTGCAGTTTCCTGCAATCGCTGTATCAAGCATGTGCATACATCTGCACACATACACCCCCCCTCCCTCCCTGTCACTCCCTGTCTTTATCTAGCTGGATGTATACACCTTAATTCATGCATGTAAAATGGCACCAGTTGTTTCATCTACACAAGAAGCATGTCTCTGTGTACTTGTTAAGTATCTGCCAGCTACATGCAGGACGGTATCATCCGGAAAGAGGAGATGCGGGACTTTTTCCGTGGTTTCAACAAGCGACTTGTTTCAACCGCAAGACTGAATCAATCGTGTACCGCACTCCCGTCTCCTGTGGATTCCAGGTCTGAAAGCTTCGCAGACCAGGTCTTCACCCTCCTGGATCCCTCCGGGACTGGAAAGGCGGCCCGTTCGGGATCGGGGCTTTGGCTGTGGGTGACCTTGCCCCTCGCCCGATCCCACGCCTCTTCGCGACAAATTCCGACCGGAGTGATCTAGAGCTGAGGTCCTTTTTGCGATCTGTTCTGGGGGTTTGTTCGCGCCCGGGCTTCGTCCGAGCTGTGAGCGAACTCTAAGTCCCGTCCAAATCAAACATCGTCCAGGTGGACTTTAGCGAGTTCCTGATGCACTTCGACGAAGTGCTGACACCCGCCCACCGGCAGGTGGAACGAGCAGCTCGTCAGGTGCGTTTAGGTGTGCAACTCCACCGGCCACCAAAGGCCACCAAAGTGTCCGGTTAGCAGGGGAGCAGGGTCCCCGTAAAGCTAAATTATCACATTGATTTCGCATGCTGCCAGCTCGCTGGCCGCCTCCACCACATACATGTGCATGCTCACACGCATGCAAGCCACACCTGCGTGCATCTACAAGCCTAGCCCCAAAGCTGACTCAACGAGCCTGAAAGAAACTGGGGTCCAGCACTACTGAGACCGTACTGGTGAGCCTGTCTGTTGTATCTGCTGATGCGGTCATTGCTGCCACACATGTTACTGATGTGTCGCCGCTTTGCTGCTCTGGTCGGTTTATGGCATACAATCGGGCTTTCTTGACACTTAGGCGCCCGTCATCGGTCTGGCCGATCTGGGAAGGCGGATCCAGTGCAAGCATGCCAGGACTTACTTTGACTCCCGGTTCCCTTGTCGTGGAATCTGCTCGTGTTAGCTTCGGTTGTGTATCAACTCTGGGAAAAGTCCAACGAACTTGGCTGCCAGGAACATGCCATGTACTTTCCGCGTGCTGCACCAAGGAAATGCCACTAAGTGTACCAAGACAGCAATGCCTCAAATCCGTAGTAGATTGAAACGTGTAACTTACTTTGGAAGTAACATCCCTGAATATGATTGCGGGCGAGCCTTTATTCCCCTCAGAAATGGGTGAAGCTTGTGGCACGAGAAGCCGTCAGCATACAACCTGTAATCCCACATCCCAAGCCGCTTAGAAATGGAACCTCCAACTTGGTAATTACAAGTATCATGCTGTACTAGCTACTGCTACACACCACAGGAAACTGCTCAGGGACTCTACTTTGCAGAACTTCCCAGACCCGCGGCCAGGTCGATGCAGGCAGCAACTGTCGTGAATGCCATGGGGCACCGCATGCTGACGAAATATGCGCAGCGAGGCTGCATTACAAAAGGTCTTTTTGGGACAAAGGACCCCGCCATCTAGTGAACCTTTATCCCTTCATCTTGACTGTATTATAGACGTAATTTCATGACGCAACGCCATGTCTTGAGAACCAGGCACGAATACTGGCACAATTTGCAGGCTGCAGCTTCAGGGAACCTGGGTAGGTGTGTAGGTGTGTTGTGCCTATGCAGACGTGCGGCAACAGTCGGTCCCATGATCAAACGGCAACTTGCAGTGGCAACAGTCAAGGAATGCTCGGCAAGCTTTTCGCGACTTGGCTGCACGCGTCCACCTTCGGTCCTGATTAATTAGTTTTATGACCGGGTGTCGTCAGTGATTTGATGTGTGGTGAAGTGATATTCGCCTGACGGCATGCCCACTGCCTAGGCGATCTTGACTTGGACAAGGATGGAAAGGTAAGTAGGCCACCTGGGCTGCACTGAGACGGCGAATGTTTCTGGGGAGCAAACTTCCTGAGAACCAAGGAAAGAGTTGCAGTTCTTCGTTAAGCACCTTGATCGCAACGTGGCTGTTCCCGGCCTTTCCAAGAGAGGCCTAGTTCGTTGGGACCTGAGCCCCAGTTTTTGTATGTTGTTGCTCAGCTTTTTCGCATACGATTTCCGGGCGTGGCTCGCAGTTAAGCAGCTTCGGGTACGCAACCAGTTGTGTGTATAAGTGGACGCTTCTGCCTGGATCCTTAGCTGCAGTGTTCGACTGAGTGCGAGGCTCGAAGTCCTGGACTGTCGCAGGGCAAACCTGAACAGCCTCGCCTAAAGTGCCGCGAGAGTCCAATCCCTAAGCTCCATTGTTGAGGGGTGCTGACACCCATGCTTTCTGTGCTGATCCTAGGAAGATGGGCCTCCCTGTCGAAGCGGCTGATGTGCTGTTTGAAGCCCTGACGCCCAGCGATTTCGGAGGCTTGGGCAGCTGGCCGACTTCCACAATTCTGTTGGGCAGTTCAAAGAACACACACACACACTCTCTCTCTCTCTCTCTCTCTCTCTCTCTCTCTCTCTCTCTCTCTCTCTCTCTCTCTCTCTCTCTCTCTCTCCCTCTCTATGTATATATATATATATATATATATACATATACGTACACACATACCCAGTAATGAGTATGTGGCATTAGAACTTCACACAGTAAACCACACACAGAACCCATCTGCTATAGTACATATAGTCCACATAGCATACATCTACAGTTATATCTGTTTGTCTTTTGTATAAACTGTATATATATATATATATATATATATATAGGTTATGATATAGGTAGTATGCATATTTACTATGTCGAATACGGAACGTATGTGTATGTATTCTTAGGCATATTTAAACATAGACATACATACATACACACACACGTACACATACACATGTCAATACATGCATACATACATACATACATACATAGGTGTTTATTTAGGGATTATACACAGACTGTACAAGCATCCAAGTACATACAGTATACAGAGTATCGGTGTCAGACTCCAGGACCGCCGGGTAGGTCTCTTCGCCACACTTGCTTTGGATTCTTGCATAAGACAGGCTTCCAAGGAAGCCGCTGGCTGTATGTGACTGGGGAATCACACCGTGGAAGTTGGGGATGATTTCCGCGACGACTACTTCATGCCATGTTCTGCCACACACAGCGAGGCCTTATCGATCAAGACACCTTTGTGAGCCTCTTCCTTGACCTCAAAGGCAGGCTTGGCAGTCATGCTGGCTTTCAGCCTCAGTGCAAGATTCTACGTAGCGTGAGTTGGAAAACTCGCCATCCTTCCAGGTGACCTGAACACCAGCAGCAAGACCAGTCTGAGGTTGCCAAAGCTTCCATGAAAATTTGGAAGCATTGCCATCTCGTGGCTGGTGTAGAGCGAGTTTAGTATGTCGAATGTCCGCTGACTTGAGCATGCATCAAGTTTGGATTTTAGCAGAAGCTGTGGACACATGAAGCAGTGTGTCAAGTTATTTCCAGGGAAGCCAACAGTCACTGGAGGCAGCCTTGTTGCAGCAATGCAGCATTTTAGGGTACTGACTGAAAGCAATGGATCACAGGACATAGCAAGGGTTCCCGAGAGCCGATCCGGTGCCAAAGTCTAGTGATTAGCTCCGCCATGCCGCCACCGCCACTCACCACCACTCACCACGCGTCTTGTCATGGTAATCGTCGTCACTGTCAGCAGCGACCCTGGAGAGCAACAACCTACGCGGAGAGAGCGCTATGATCGCCTGCAGCCGCATAAACTTGGTGCCATAAACCATGGCCATTCAAATGTGAGGACAGATTTGGGATTCCATCGCCTCATGCTGCGTTCATCCCTCAGGGACCTTGGTTATCGCACCTCAAGGACTACGAAAGTTTGAGTCCTTGTGAAAGCCGAAAACAGTAAAGACCGGGCTGAGCTCCAGTCGCAGCGCCTTAGGCGCCAAGTTCTTCCCGGGCCCGTGAGTGTGGAGTCGAACCCAGGCGGCGTAGCTCTCCATGTAGGTGCAGCGGTGCGATGACCCTAACGACTAGATCCCGACTAAGGAGGAGTAGTAGTAGTAGTAGTAGTAGTAGTAGTAGTAGTAGTAATTTTATTATTATTATTAGTAGTAGTAGTAGCAGTGATAGTAGCACCAGCAGCCAGTCCTTGCACGATGCGTCGACGGCTGGGCGTTCTGGCTTTTACCAGAGTGTTAAGTTTCCACAGGATGACAAACGTTGGAACTTGTCGATGGAAACCTCTGCGGCAACAGCTGCCAGCAGCAGCAAATAGGAGTTTCAGTTGCAATGCAAGCAATACCGGCAGAAACAACTACTGCAGCAGAGAGACCGTGCGTATGGCATCATGTGATCATAACCTGCGGTTCGACACTGCTTTCCATCACAACATGTGGGTTGTTCCGAAGCTTAGGTTCGAAATGACACTTTTTGTAGAGAGGATGTTGCAAGTGATGTTTGGAACAACCCCTGCTTAGGGTTCATTTCAACCGGTCGAGAAATTTGTTTTCGGATGCCAAAGATTGAGCTCCGAAAACAGCAGCAGCCTTTGTGGCCGTGCTCAATCGGCACCACAAACGTGCGCTACAGGCCGTGCGCTGCTGTGACTGCTACAAACTGCAGTGTGCGAAAGTTGTGTGGCTGTTGCAGCTGTGGTTGCGACCAGAAGACAGCTGTCATGGCGGAGAACAAGGTGAAGAAAAGTCACAGCGTGTGTCGACCCCGAAAACTGAGAACTTCTTACTGTACAGTCCTGTCCACTGTTCTCGCTTCCGCACGGTAGGTTAAAAATAGGTGGCCAGCTGCACTTTCCGAATCGTTAAGAATTGGAAATCAAGCCCCGTCTTAGCGTACTGCTGCATTTGTTGCGGTCCTTATGCTGTGGATGTGGTGGCAGTGGGAAGCGAAGCGCCTTCTTACCGGACGGCAGGAACCGCTGGAACAGACGGATGCAAGAAGACTTGTCAACCTACCGTAGGTTGGCATAATGAGTTAAGCACGTCTGTTCTCCGACACTAGGACACGAAGCAATGTTAGAGTTCAGGCAAAAGCAAAGGCAGAAGACTCGACAATTGATGGATCGTGGTCGCCGGAGTCCGTACCCCAGTTGCCACAGCTATGCCTGCCTGATCCTGGGGTTAGATGAACATTGCAGGAGTTGCGGCGTCGAGTGGTCGCAGCCTGAGCTTTGCACGACAGACTTCACCCGATGACACAGACAGAGCTCCAAGCGAAACAGTCACAAGCGTCGCCGCTGGCTGCCTCGTAGTAGTCGCAGAGTGCGGTAGGCTTGCAGACGTTCCCAGAGACCTGCGGATTATAGGAAGCACACACACACACAGACCTCGAAATTGACAGCCAGCAGACGCCCCAGTGCTTTGATGCCACATCCCCTGTTAGTCGAGGGTTTCATTGCTGGTTTCTGCTGCGACTCGTACTGGCCATTCAGATCGAAATCCTGACAAAGCTTCAAGTTGAGTTGAAGTAGCAGATTGTTGTCGAATCGCTCCGGGACCAGCAGTAGCTGCAATGCTGAACAATAGTAGAACACGAATGTGCAACAAGAACTCAAGCAGCTGTCAAGTGCCTTCGTGGCTGAGGAAGGAGGCTCCGGGGACAACAAGCGGAAGATGCCATCGCTCTCAGACATTGATGTTCCTTCTGTTTCCTATTCTATCACTTCATTACGCAGGGCTTGGGATGGGCTGGCCTTCCGTTTCCTTTCCTCGTCAGACGAAGACGAAGACGAATTTCATGCCCCGGAGCTAAGCTAAGGTTTGCTATAGCGGCTCGCCTCGGGGCCAAAGCCGGCGAGGTTCGAAGATGTTCGAAGTTTACGCAACGCGGCACTGTGCAACACATTTGGGCTTTATATGGTATCACCGAGCTTGTGCTCATTCGGCCCGCAAAGGGCCATGGAACTGCGTCGAGCCATATATGTTTAGGCAACGCGCGATTACTGCACAGGGCTTCAACTCAACTCTTGCCGCTGCGCGCTCCGGGGTTGGGAATGGGCGAGGTGGAACAGCATCACAAGAACGCAACCGTGAGGAATTCGCACGGCGTTTCAGGAGAGCGCTTCGTGCACAAATCCAATATTGTAACGATCACTGCTCCGAACACCTGCAAACGACGCCGTGCGGATCTTCAGCTGAGGTTCGTCATCGTTGTTTTGTGCAGGCTTGTGTTTTTATACTTGCAAGCCAGGTTGTCCTGGAGCCCTCCGGCGAAACCTTTCTCAAGGTTGTCGGGCTGCATCTGCTATTCTGCATTGAATCAGCGAAATTGACGGCGCTTTTTGATGTCTTTCGTCCAAATGGTGGTTGCCGTCCTCGCGCTTGGCAAGCTGGCTGGCTCAATGCTTTGGCTGGCGGTCGATTCTGTTCACAGCCTGAAGCCTGCATCCTTTCCCGCATGAGCTTCTTTCACGTTCTAGCTTTGCAGCCATCTGGGAGGTTTTCAACATGCTATACGAGGAGTTGATGGGCAGCAGCCTGAGTATTGAAGAGCCGCCGGATCAAACATACTTGGCCAGGCATGGAATTCGGTGTCAAGCCAAATCGTTTTTTCTCTCTGGTGACCAGGCGTTGCTGATGCCGTCCCCGCCATCAGCACGGTGCGCCAAGTGACGGGACTGCGGCATGTAACTCTTTGCCTTGCCTTCTCATGAAGAGGGTTGGTCGCAGCATGCCCTGCAAACACGGTGATTCCTTCCCTCCCCACTTCATTGTGGACAGCATGCCGTCTGCTGGACTCCGGAAGGCTTCATCCCTTCTGAGCCACGCGCCTTGTGCCGCAGCCTGGGCCGTCAGCGAAGTGCTGCAGAACTCCAGGAGCAACTCAGACCGGTCGGTTCCGTTTCGGATGTTTGGGACCTTTAGGAGACTTACAGCAGTTGACGGCTTGATTTCTGAGCTCGCTGCTAGGTGTTGCGCTTGCCACGATATGCTATGAGAACTCGCCTTCGTCATCTTTCTAAGGACTGTACGTAAGTGTAAGATGTGCCTTTGTCATGGTGAAGCTTGCAGTGCGCGGCGGGAGTTGGGAGCCATCTCCAGGATGCCTTGCCTTAGTGGTCCAAGCAGCAAACCCTGGGATACTGTCTCAGCTATAGTAGGAATTCTATTGGCTCGTGGATAGGGGGTAGTGATTAGGAAAGATGCCTGGCATTGTTTACTGGCTTACAACCATACATGCCCATGCCGGCGAGACACTCTGGCATGATTGCATGTATTGCACAGCGTCAACTAGCAGAATCTAATCGAATGCCGTGCAGCTCAATGTAGCATCCTACACTGTGCAAGTACTTGCTGTCATGCTTACCAAGTATCGCCGGAACGCAATGCAGCCATTGTGTGCGAGCGCATCGTGTAAGAACAGAAGCAGATCCGAATACTTACACCATGAGTACGATGACGACGATAATGACGCCGAGGATCACTCGTGCCAGTTTTAAAGATAGACTCCTGGCTAGACTGATAGATCGATTGATCGGTGTGCCGACCGTTTTTTGTTCCCTGTCTTAGCCATAAGCGGCAAACCGCAGCAGGAGCTGGTCCGAGCACTTGCGGTCCACGAAGGGGACTCTTGATCTCCACAGTCTGCAAAGTGGTAGTGGAGGGGATCCCTGTAGCATGCAGCTCTTTTGTTGTTGTCATCTGGTGACATGGTGTATGTAGTCACCTAGTCGTTGTGATGTTCGATTTATATGACATACAGTCTATAGTTGTATTGACGGCTGCACCTTTAACGTTATTTACTGATCCTCGCTGTAGAGGAGTTAATCGTGCCGGTTAGTTGCCAGTGAATCGTAAAGTCTTGAGTGACCTAGCAGTGTTTCCGAAGGCTCTCGCAGTGTTGCTCGTAGGTTGAGAAATGGCAGCTATGGAGATCGGCAGTTCCTCCAGGCAGATGAGTGAGAATCCGAAATCTTGGAGCACCGGCTAGTACCCAACTTACAGGCTCTACTTATACTTAGAATCTCGGAATCTTGCATACGGACGCTAGCAGCTCCCGAATTCGCTTCAGTCTGAATCTTCATGAATCTTCCCAGTCTCTCCAGACAAGGAAGCTGCTGCAGCAAGTGCAGGAGGCAAGAAGTCCCGGAGTTTGACACGACATGAGTTCAGGTTTAGGCTTCTGAATGCCTCAGATGTTGGGGATTGTGACGTTCGGGTCGCGGATAGAGGCTTTTTGATGACAGGATGCTAGCTGTAGAACTTAAGCCCAGGTCGCAACGAGCAGTTGCTCTTTGCGGCAATGACAGGGAGGGAGGGGGAAGGAACAACCGCGTATCGGTGCGTGGGTCAGGCAGTCAGGAGCGAGACAATGGGTCCACAAAACTGGAGGCAGAGAGAGAGCCAGCCAGAGCGAGAGCACACCTGCTTGGCGTGGGGCAAATGCACGGGGAGGGGTCCTCCCCTCCTCGAGGCCCGGCCCGAAACAAGGGGAGAGAGAGGGAGGGAAAGAGACAGTGCTCGGACCGAAAGACCAGTGCGCAGCAGCGCGCGGGCCTGGTGGGGGTTGCCCGCTTTCACTTGACATCCTCTGAGCGGAAGAAGAGAGCGAGACTGGACGTTGATTTAGGGCTCGCATGCCAAGACGATGTGGCGCTCGTTAGCCTCCGCGTAGCACCTTTCCTCAGGAACTCCACGGTAAGTAGTACATGCGACGCGTGATGACACATCCAGCCAGCACAACGACAGGCGAGAAAGAACGACGAAAAGCATGGCCGATCTTGTGGGAGAAAGGAAAATTGGGCACTCGTGTGACATCCCTCCCACTCGAAGCCTGAGGGGACGAATGGGGGGGAGCCCCCGAAGTGGCCTGCTGGGCGTGTTTAGGCTTGATTCAACAGAAGCCACTTTAGAGAGCTGAACGAGCTGTATTCACTTTGCCGGCAGCAGGCACAGCATCTCGCTGTTGAGACGCAACGGGCCCAGTCGTTGTTTGCTGTTTGGTCGTCGGGAAGACGGCGTGGTTGGAAATCACACGTTCGAACATGTACGTGAATCAATCGATCAGGTGTCCTAAGCTCTGGGTTCATGGATGAATAGAGGCTGAAATGCCTTTCGAAGCAGGTAAGGGCAGGGGCCGAGACCGTCCACGACAAGGAATTCGAGTTGGGGGCCGGGTACAGTAGTCAGCGACGTGTGCACAGCTGCGAGGTACGAACCGTACCGGCGAATCTACGACTACCAGCGGGACTGGGACAAGGTGCGCGGCCTTTATTGTGTTGCAAATGCCCTCGCGAGGCAAGTCTTGAATGCCAACTTCAAAAAATGATACTTGAAAGGCAAGCTTCAGCAAGCAGCCTCACACCTTCGAGTCATTGTCGGAGCAGGCTGCCCCGGGGCAAACTGCAGAGGAGCTTACTTTGGAGACAGGGGGGACATGCTTAAGAAAGCTTGCCGGCTTGGAAGTCTTCTTGGGCCAGCGCAAAGAACCAGTCTTCCGTAGTAATCCATGCTTGTCATTATGTGATAATGTGCGGGGAATATCTTCGTGAGGGATCTTCTAGGCAGCAGAATGGATTGGCTTTGTGTAACGGGCTGCAGATGAGCGAACTGGAGGTCCCAATGCCTGTGCTGATGCAGCATGTCTCGACCATGCAGTTCCAGCGCAGCTCAGCTAGGCATCTTGTCGAAGTCTTTAACTGAAATTCATCTCGAATCTCTGCCCATTCACCTGAATCCAGAAACGGGCATGACTTTCAGCCTCGACAGCCTCGCCGGAGTGTGCCAAGTTATGAGAGTCCAGACGCCAAAGGCTGCATCCCAGCTTCTTGCTTCCCGGCAGAGAGCCTGGTTCGGTCTGCCAAGTTGTGAGACTCTGTGACGAATACCGTGACGCGTGCGTATATAATAGACAGATATGTACATGATATGTACATGTTTATGTATTTATGCCTGTAAGCTCGAAGCCCGGAACAGTACAAGATCCATTTTGACTCCTCATGGCTGCATCTTTGCAGCCTAGCCTGCCTTAAGAGCAAAGCTCCTGAGCTGGAGATGCGAGCTTTTGCCTGGAGGTGGAGCTGATGGGCCGCTTCCAGGCCCCTACTAAGTTTGTGATCATGGAGTCTAGACACAGATGACATAGATGCGACAGGCGAGCAGTAGTCGCTTCGAGCGCCAAGGGTTGAGGGTAGTGGGGTTTTGAAGAGAAAGGTGTGCGTAAGTTGCAGGTCTTTGGTCTTATGTCCTCAGCGTGGGATAACTAGTGATGTCTTTGGATGTAGAAGAGTTCCGAGTATGACTTCGTTCAGACTTGCCCAACATGTCTTCTTGGGCTTGGCCTGTCAACCGTTGTCTGCCACGAAGTCCGAAGCAGACGCCCAAGAGTTTAAGTCCGAATCGGACAGATTGTTAGCCCCCAAATTTCCAGGAGGAGTTGAACAAGTTCCGAGTACAGCGGCACTTCGGTGTGCTGGTTCTCGAGGACACACCAAGGGCCAGACAGCAGTGAAATTTTGGTCTTTGCGGTTTAAGATCCCTGCGTAATGTATCGCAAATGCTTCATTGGATTGTCCGCTTAATTGGCCGAATTTTGAGACGAGATGTTTGTGTTTATGGGAGGAAATGCTTGATCGGTTGATCAGCCTGCCGGAGCATCCTGCTTGAAAGATGAGACCAACCCGTGTGGAAACCCTAGGCGTGTTTGCCAAGAATGCTTCTGCCAAAGGACGCTTCAGGTTGGACAGATCGAAGTAGCAAGAGTCAACCCGTTAGCAGCCAAAGGCGCGCGAGCTTCGAGATCAGCTCTTGCCGGCCTTCACCCCAGATACGGCACAGGCATGCTAGACGTTTGTGCCCGTGCACGAACTTTTCATGGGGACTGTGTGATGGTGAAGCTGTACTTAAATCGTGTAAAAGTGTCGCTCTGCCGCACGACTCCGTTAGGAAAAGTCTTCGTAGCACCAGTTGCTGGGGGCAAGAAGCGAAGCCGCTAATAGTTCGAGGATCCTGATACTTCGCATCACTACGCTCTTAATCTGTGATACACGAGGCACGCAACAGTACATGGATCTCATTGTGCGAGCTTTGCATAGAGCAGTGCGGAAATCCCGTCGTTTTGTGGCTCAAGTGTCGCGATGCCTTTCATTAGAGGAGGAGTGGGGTCGGGATGTTAATGCACTCGTTGAGCTATGGCTGGTGCAGAACCAGAACCGCTCCTTGATGACGAAGCAGTCTACACGCTTTGCACAGTTGTTTGCTGCCTGTTCCGCGGTTGTTCCTGCTTCAGCACGACCACATCCTTGTTTTGAGGTACGCCGGAGTCGACATGGTGCATGGTGCCATCGCTGTCAAGGCAGGCTGTCGCTTGTTCCACTGTTTGGGCAGCTTGAGCCTGACAAGACAGCCTCACAGTCTCAGATCACACGGTCCAGAGTCTCGCATGAGTCTAGACCGCCCCCCTTTGAAGATGTGACATAAACCGCTGATCGCAGCAATGACAGAGCGGGTGAATAGGAGCAGTTCCAGCTCTTCGATGACAACGAGACCGGCACAATTGCAACTCGCAGTGAACGAGACACACACGCACACATCGCTCCCGGGATTAATCTTGCAAGTCTTCAGAGGACAGGTCAATATGAAGTCGTTGTTAGGGTCCTTGAAGTCGGGACAAGGCGACAACCGGAACCCGACACTTGACTCTGACAGGCGGGTTCCGCGCAAGCTCGACACCAGCCCTCCGGAATCGGGATTGACCCGAAAGCCGTGCCTGGTTCTCTAGCCTGCATGATAACTAAGGGCAAGGAGGACCTCAGATCCTTGATTCAGAATCTGGGGCACTTCGATCCCGACGAAATCGACAGGACCCTGCATTTAAGGGGCACGTTTGAAGCAGCTTGTTTTGACGGGGTCATGATATGCTTGTATTAGAGCGGGATAGAGTTGGATCGTCGTCACATCGGCAAACTTCCTGTCGACGGATGTGCTGGCAGCAGCGGAACCGATATGGGACCTGGGCAGGAGAAGTAAGCCAACAAGCAAGCATGGTCTTTGCAAAAGTTTGAGCCTTCTTACTATGTGCTAGGACGGGTAGGATTTGCTCCGGCAAAATTCGAAGCTATATGTGGGTGGGGTGTGACCTGCCACTGTTTAGGCTTACGCTGCTAAACAGCGCTGGGCCGAGAGAGTGCCTCTGGTAAAGAGCATTGGCCCAAATGACGAAGCTGCACAGGATCTTGAATATAGCCGTCGGAGACGATGGCAATGAGATCATGTACGAGTCGTTCATCGACTGGGCATTCAACAGTGCCAAGGTGTCTCTCCGCATTGTTTCGGCTCTGTGGCATTCGATGCACACATGGTTTCTGTTTGAGTCTGATTAAGTTATGTGATTGTCATGCACTGCAGGTCATCGAGCACCGGAAGGATCGACTACGCAATGTGAAGTTGTTCCAGATGCTCGGCATGATGTCCAAGGAGTTTCTGCAGCTGCCAGCAGCTAGCATCTCTGCAGTGTCGACGTGGGTGATGCTGATGATGCTGGCGACGAAGATGATGCAGGTAGTGGTCGACGAAGGCAGTTGCTACGATTGCAGCTGTCGTTGTTGCCACTTTAATTTCTGCTGTTACTGCCATGGTGACCGCGAATGTAAGACGGCGAGTACGACGACACGACCACGTCGCGGCTGTCTTGTTTCTATTTATTGCGTTTCTTTGTCTTGCTGTCTGTTCAGTTGCTAGGGCCAGGGTTACCGTCAGTCTCGCTAGTAGTGTTTCCTTTGTGTTCAATACAGCTATGGGTGGCAGCTGGAGGTGTAGCAGTTGCACTTGTACTGGGGGTTGGAGTCCGAGCAAGAGTAGTGGTAGCAGTAGCACAGTGGAAATAGTTGTCGTCGTCGTGGTCGCGGCAGAAGTGTTAGTAGTCGTCGTAGTATTAGCAGTAGTGGTAGCACTGGTGGTAGGGGTCGTCGTGTTCAGTAGTGCAATAATAGTAGCAGCAGCAGCAGCAGGAGGAGTAGTGGTAGTGGTAGTGGTAGTGGTAGTGGTAGTGGTAGTGGTAGTGGTAGTGGTAGTGTGAGTGAGTGAGTGAGTGAGTGAGTGAGTGAGTGGTTACTGATGACCATGAACATGATGGAAGTGATTGTGATCATGGCCACCCGGTCGAACATGCTGCGTGCTCTCATTTCAAGGCCAAGGGGGTGCCAAGGTGATCATTAACGGTGATTATGGTGATGATGCAGTAAAGGAGACCATCGATGTGATCAGTGGTAACAGTCTTGTTTTTGCAGTTGCTGGTGGTGGCGGTGGTACTGCTGATGATGGTAATGATGCTGAGTTTAAGGTGGCTGCCATGAAATTGAAGACTGCGGTGGTGATAAGCCCACGATGATGGGGATGTCGCGATGACGCAGAAGTGAGATCCTGAGTTTTATCGTCAACTCGGCCAGACTGCACCTCCAGGACTTTAGCGCATCCGTAAAGGCCAGGCAGGACCTAGGCGTCGTCCTTGATTTCTTTTCGCTTGCTCAGGAATTTCGTGCTCCTGGCGAACTTGATTTGCGTTGCAAATGTTGCAATTAGCATGTCGTGGTGTCCGTGTCACCTTTGCTAGAACCAGGACGGGAAGTGCACTCGGGCGTTGCCGGGGCTCATGAAGACTAGTGATGGATGCAGAGGGGCAGGAAGGCTGCTGCTAACGGCTGCACTGGCGAAGCCCCACACCCTATCTTCCACCGATGCAGAAGATGTAGCTTCTGCCATTCCGTGCCAGGGAGAGCTCGAAATAGAGGAATGCGCCAAAGTCCTGGAGCCGCTTCGACGAAATCCGAACGTTATTTCGGTTCTGGACGTAGCGGAGAAACAGTTTTGTGCATTGCATTTCGGGCTGAACCGTTCGGGCAGTTGTACTCGGTGCGTCGCTCGTGCAACTCCGATCTGAGGCTCGTCACCTACGCGGCCACTGCAACGCATATAGTGGATGGAGCAATACCTGGGGTTGGTCTGAGACAATTGCAGGTCAAGCTTGATGGTGCGCATTGATACTTCCCTTTGGATCGCTTGAGAGCCATAGCCATTACTTGCTTCCCTGTGACGCCACGGGTCTCACCGATCGTTTGCCCCAGGCTGGCCAGGACATCATCACGCAAGGCCCCCCCAGCTGCAGATTAGCAAATTTCAGCTTCCTGCATGACGGGGCGTCGGATTCAAACAGCTTGAAAGGTTGCAGCATCAAAAATCACTATCATGGCCTTGATCTCCTGTTGCGACGAATATTGAACCGTTTTTGCGATTCAGCTATATCAGGTGATGAAGGCTTCGACTGTTTCATCGTCGATGCAGGGGAGTGCTTCGCAAAGATCCAGGTGCACAACCGTGGGGGAAGTGTTTGTGAGGGTCGTGAAGCTTGAGGGGCATTTACTCAGGCACATGTCGCAGGCCAGTTTGCACCTACATTGCAACTCAGAAGGGCTTATGATACCTGTGCTGGCAGCGCTATTCGGACGACTATTTACTATGTCAAAGCCTCTGCATCCCCAAAATGTACCGGAATGCACCGTGTCTTGTAGTCGACGACAGTGGCTGGGAGTCCCAGTATAGTAGGAGCACCGGTAGCAACATGAGCACTGGCATTGACGTCACGCTTGTGGTTGTCATGTTTCTTATGCTTGTTGTGTGCGTTTGACATCTCTCGACCTGTTTCCCTGATCCGAGATCAGCGGCAAGTGGAAGGAGGTAGTCCGATACGAGCCGGGAGGCACGCTGTTAGACTTGAGGGAGTTTCGGCGTGCCGGATTAAGGGTGTAAGCTTTCGCTCTAGGCGTGTGGGGCTGCACAGGGCTGCGTCCAACCACTAGACTTAGTGCAATGTGGCCCTGGCATCAGCTTCCGGGACAGGCGGAATTGCGAGTAAATGCAAGTTGCTCACTGCACGACCCATTTCCCTTTCGAATGCCGGATGTATTTGGAAGGAATGGATTTATCTTGAGATTGTTTCCTGTGCCAGGATTCTTTGGTGAGCGAGCTCTACTCAGGCCGCTGTGGTCATCCCCTCTTTGTGCAAGGGGTCCGGGCAGCTATATACTGACAGGTTGGAGTAGGTCAGGACCTTGAGACGCACAACCCAGAAAGTGATTTGCCTTTCGGGTGGTACAGCTTCTTCACGGAGGATCGTGCTCTGACATGCTCCGGCTAGCAATAGCAAGACTGTCTGAGCACCCATCTTGAACTTGTTTGTTTTCAAAACGATTACAGCAAGTATCGCCATGGTGATGATTATGATCTTGGTGATGATTGCGTGTAGTCAGGAGTACTGCAGAGGAGCTGATGATGCAGTCGTGTCATTCATTGTGCATGGCATGTGAGATCAGAGATCGGCTTGCTCCTCAGACCTGTGTGCAGTAGAAAGATAATTATGAGTGATGATGATCAGCCACCGACGCTGATGCTTGGGTCGAAGTCGGCGGAGGAAGCAGCTTGGTTTGTAGCGCCAAGCTAGGTGCCTCCAATGCAACGATTAGACTATTATTAGCCTTCGCAATTGCAAAAGAAGCCCGGGCAGGAAAGAGCCGAGAGCAGCCACGGTGACAGCGCGCACGGATGTGAAGCTTCTCCGGCTCAGCCAGACCCTGAGCTGTGGGTCGAAGTCGCGGCTTGCGGCCGTTTTCTTTGCAATTGAGGCTTCGGGCTTAGAATTGAGAAAACTGCCGTTCAGATGTTGGAGTTCCTGCTTAGCTTCGCTTGGAAGGAGTGTGTATCCAGGGTCAGGCTCGGTCAACCCTAGCCCTCTCCGATGAAGCATGAAGCTTCAGAAGCTGTCTTCGAAGGCATAGTCCGGGATTGGAATTCGTGCACGGCACACATCCTCAGGCTCCTCCTTAAGCAGCTTTCCAGAACCTTCAACGGTCCACTCCGTCCTTGTGTAGATCGGATGTACAGAGTTTCTACTCGAGAAAGCCCCGTAGTGCTTGACACATTCATGGCAAGTTTGATCAGCAATGGGTCTGTGGATGTTTTTTTCTACACCGAAAGCGTCTCGTCCCTCCCAGATTGAAGACTCGTCTAAAAAGTTGAAACGCCACAGCTCCGATTCAGTGAAGTACGAAGAAGCCAGAAATCTTGTCTCCTCAGGCCGCGAGGAGTTTGTGTCCATGATCGCGGAACGAGATCACAAGGTGTGCGCTTTGAGATTTGGGGCGAGAAGGGCGCTGAAGTAATATGGTCTGAGTCTGCACTGCTGCTTCAACGGCACGGTGATTCCACGAGCAGTCTTTGCCCTTGCTGTAATTATTCAGGCCTGAACGCTGACATGACTTCCTTTTGTTTTTGTGCAAAGGAAAACCTCATCCGCAAGATCAAGGAATTCGACACCTTCAACGACTTGCAGGCAGCATTCATCCGGGACCGGATGGTGAAGATCTGGTTCGAGCTGTGGTGCGGGATACGCTGTTCTGCGGAGCTCATGCGCTGCTTGTTAAGTTAAATGCACGAGACTCGTACCATTGTTAAGAGCATCCAGCACCGACCTAAAACTAAGCTGCAGTCGTTTCGCTTGGCAGGTGGCAACACTTGCAGGAGCGTTCGAAAGAAGATGGTTTGAGTGCCTCGCTTGCAACAGCCGTTGTCCCTCATGCCTCGCCAGCATAAAGAATACATTTTGGCGTCCTAGTCCAAACTGCACAACCACGAACTCAGATCCGCGTTGCTTGAACACTCCGGGCAATGGCGTGAACATCTCCAAACAAGTGCCGGCAGCTTTGTGAGTGACTCTGATCACCGTCACGTGCTAAGGGACAACGAGACCATCTTCAAACAAGGTGACGAAGGTCACCACTTCTACCTCTTAGAGGCAGGCAGTGTTCTGGATTGTAAGGCGTCGATCCTGGTTTCCATACTAGGCGATGCTACCCTTGTTTATTTGGCTCGTTTCCCTTCACCATGTGTCGGCAGGACGGGGAGTGTGTAGCCACGGAGAATGACCTCGAGGGGAATGAGCACGAGGCGGGCAAGTCACGTTGAAGGACGGCACCGCTACAGTCTGTTAAAGGCTGTGAAATCCTTACTCGGAAATTGGATGGGCGAGGAAACGTAGGTAGTGGCAGCAAAGTCCGATGAACGCCCTTAGACTTCGACGGACGTGTTGCGAGCAAGGTATGACCAGAAGGAATGACCCGGTCGCCTGCAGTGCGAGAGTGGGGGCCGAAACTCTAGATTTTCACATATTTTGACTGAGTCTGTTGTACGACGATCTGGGATCAAAACTTCAAAACATCCTGCACCTGGTCTGGAGTATTGTGGCAAAGCCGTTTTTTCGAGATGTGCCATGCCTGGAACATGTGTTTGTGTTTGTACATCCACTTTGGAGCAGCTGTGGGTGCTCCAGAATCCAACTGAAGTGGCCATAATTTGGCTGCATTATGGATCATTTGCTTTCCTCGTTATGGCAAGAACTTAGGCCCTAGGCTCGAACTAATTCAATTGCCGCAACCTCAAGCTGAACAGGTGAGGCGCTACCAACATGGCGAGCTCTTTGGAGAGAAGGCTGCCCGATACAAACAGATCACCTCAGGGTTGCAGGAAAGCAACATATCGACTTGAGCTCCAGGGTCTAGAGTCTAGACGAGTTCGGGTCAATTGTCGGAAACTTATGAATTCACTAAACTTGCGCAGAACTCACAAGCCTTGTGGCGGAACAGCCAAGCGATGCAAGCGATTTCTAGCCTGCAGTCAGACACTTTTTTGATAAGTCTTTCCAGACATCCGAGCAGTTTAGTCTTATGATATGTTTCGTGCATTCCATGCACGGACTAAAGGACCTGACAGGCAGGATTCGCTTTCGCAGTATCGGCGGCCAAGGCCATGACGGAGACATCGCCACGGCCAGCTACTGTGAGGGCTGTGGGCACCGTGAAGGCTGCTTGGGCCAGTTCATGATTCTTGCTGTAAGTTTTTGTTGTCCTCGTGTTTCAGTGTAATTAGCATTGTTGTCAGCATTTGTGTTCCAGTCGGCGGGTTGGTTTTGCGATGGGGGGCCCATTCTTTGAGAGACTTCGGAGCCTCTGTCCACACGCTACAGAGTGAGTCAATATCTTGTCTAAACGAAGGCCAGAGGGAGAGGACGAGCGAGGAACGAAAAAACAGCACAGGGAGGCTAGCGCAGGCTTGTTCCGTGGGATGGAAGCCCGAGTTTCCGTGCTATTGTTAGGTTGAAGGCATGGTATATCGGGTCATGTTTTACAGCGCTTGTCAATTCGCTGCACCGTCGAACCTTTGGAGCCCTCTGGATCGGCTTCACTGCTGTGAAGGCCAAGCTGTTGGACCCCATACTTCTTGTTCTAAGAAGCGGTGTTTTGCTACAAGAGTCTAAGGGGACACCAGTTGTTGTACCTTGGTGTACGCCTACTGATATGCCGATTACGCACTTGATTCTCATCTGCTGGGTTTGCTCATTGTTGTCAAGGATTGTGCTGTCTTGTCTTGGCGCCGGTTCGTGTTGGTGCGACTTCAATTGGTAGTTGCAGCCTTTCGTCAACTGTAGCGGAATGTTTGCAGCACCGCCAATGGTGCCATAATAATTACTGACAGCGCTAGAATTGGTTTTCCTAGACATAGCTGGCTCCCACTACCGAGTACTGCAGCGTGTAGTTGCATCTCCGCACAGCGCGCACAGGTCCTGCAGGTGAGCAGAGAGGAGCCGTTAAAGGTTAATGTCGCTTTGGGTTGGTCAGGTTAACCACGGTTTCGGGAGCAGATTCATTATTTGGTTGGGGTTCACATCTCAGGGAACAGGGCATCCCATGCCGGTTTTGGCACGGTGTTGTATTGGCTGGTGAGATGATATGATTGAGCAAGGTCGAGCCGGGAATACTTCCTTCCAGGTCCTGCAGCACTGACACCACTCCAACGCCAGAGCTGAACTTCTGGCCCCAATCGGTCCAGGTCAGAACCTGACGAGTGTTTAAGACTAAGTACGAGGCACTGCACTCCGATCCTGAACCTGTCTACATCACTGCAGACGGCAGCAGTTTTACGGATGGCATCGAGACATGCCCATTTTTTTCAGAGCTTCGTGCTAGTATTTACCTTCAGGTGCGACTCACCGGCTCGAACTCACGATGTTTGTTGATCTGTCTTCTTATGATACTGATCATCGTTATCACTATCATTGATCATTACCTCCTTCGTAGCAATTCTCGCTACTACCATCGCCCTCCTATGTGCTTGTCAATGTCGAATGCGAGCTCGCACCTGCAACCCTCGAGCCAGGACTTCGAGAAGAAATTGGGCCCGCTCGTTGAGCTTAAGGACAGTTGTGAAAACAAAAGAAGGGAGGGACGGGCTTGTTGAGCTTGAACAGCCGCATACCAGTCAGCACAGTGGCCAGCTCAAGGGTGTAAAGTTGGTGTAAAAGTGTAAAGTCGCGCGGCGCAGGCTCAAGCATACAAGTCAGACCCGCGGAAGCTCATCGCCGACTTTTACCAAGCCGGGGCCTGGACCTCAGCACTTTCGGTTCTTGCGTTCTGGAGCGAGCTCTCGAATGCATCGTACATCACTAGATCCGCGCAAAACGTGGTATCGGTGCTGGTTCTCGACAGAAGTGCCACCTCATGGATCGCCGAGGATTCAGCAGGCCCTGGGGGCAGCAGGGTCGAGGGCTCTGCGGAGACTGACGTCGAAAGCAGGCGCGACGAAGCACAGGAGCAAGAGGATGACTGTAATGGAAGCATTGTAGCAGCTGAGAGTACTCACATGTAATAACAAACTTAGTTACAGCAGAGTTTGGGAGATTACTCAGAGAGAGAGAGAGAGAGAGGTAGCCATTTTGGCTCAAGCCGCGAGTGGTTCAAGACCGAGCCCAGAAAGTCAGACGGTCTACAAACCGGGGGACAGAGCGAGAGAGAGAGACTGTGCACGGCCTCCTTCATTGCCCTTGCCACGACGCCTACAAGTTTGTAGATCTACGCGTGTACTCCAACCTCTTTCGGCGGAGCGACATCGGGGGGAACGAAGCACATCGGTGTCTGTGCGCCGAACCTCGAGGACTTTGCCAGCCCTCTCCGTCGACGGGATCGGCGGAACTACAGGACTTCTTTGAGTCGTACCCGCTTCTGCCTACCGTGAAGGTGGGTGAGGGATTTTATCACTTACCTGATCGTGACACTTCGTCCACGGCATCAAGAATAATACTCTCGATGGCTGGCACACATGGGGGATCCAGAGCACCCACATCCCCAGCACAGGGGGACAACCCGGGAGTGGCGAGCAGCGGGCGAAAACGTCCCGCGACCACCGACGATGAGGGGGACGAGCAACCATTGACCCTCAATACACTCCTTGCCGCTCTGAAGGAGAATCGGGAGGAGATCGTCGCCAAAGTTCGTGAGGACATTGATGCGATCAACACCCGTATGACTACAGTGGAAGTCACAGTCGACACACATGTGACCAATACCACCAAGTTGCTGGAGGCTATGACAGATCGCCATTGCGTGATGGAGCAAAGTGTTCGTAACGTCGATGAGAAGCAGAAAAGTGTGCTGGAAAGACTGGAACTCCTCGAGGGGAAGTTCGCCAAGGCCAATTTCTCTATATCGAGTACCAGAACTTCCGAGACCGACGGGGGAAACCCCCGCCCTGCCCTGGTGGTAGGAGGCTGGGATGCAGACCAACATCATGAGGAAACCCTACAGTTGGTGAAGCAGCACTTGCACGACTTGAACGTCAACCTCGACACCAGCCAGGCTTTCGTTCCAGGGCTTAGAAGGGGATTCGCCCTTGTACCCCTAAGCAAGCTCGAGGGGGAAAACGATGCTGAACAGCGTGCTCGTGTGCAAGAAGTGCTTCGAACTATTCGAGCAGCCAAGATCGTGACAGGCCAAAGACCCGAAGGGGGACACCGATATTTTTTCGCAGCCCTCAGCCAGAGTCCTGAGCGCCGCAAGAAAGCCCAATTAGCTGGCAAGGTCAAACGGCTAATTATCGAGGAGGGAGGCGATGTTCGTAAAATCGACGTTGAGTACGGCACGGCCAATTTATGGTACAACAGTGTGAAAGTTGCATCGGGGGTTACCTCGGCTCCAGACGGTGCATCAGTCGAAAAAGCTGGATGGGTGCATCTCGGCACCGTGGCACGACAAATCGGGATTTCCGAAGAAGCTGCGACCTCCAAGTGGGGGGAGCTTCGGAAGGCCCTTCAGTGAAGACAACAGCAAAAGAGGGCCGAACTCTTGACCCGGCCCTCGCAAACAGTGCATGTGATCAGCTGGAACGTCGGGGGACTTACCTCTGCCAAAGTATTGGAAGTCATCCTGGCCCTCCGGCGACATGGAATTCAACCCTTTTGTGACTCCCTGATCGTGTTCCTCCAAGAGATTATATGTGACGGGGGAAAGCACCACGCCTCCCTGGAAGAGCTGCAGATGGTCTTCGGGAAACGAACCGAGGACTGGCGAGGCAATGGCATCATGCACACCTCGAATCTGCGGCACACTCGGGGAAAACTTTTGCCTTGTTCGATTTCTTGCACTTTGAGTTCGGATGCTCTCCGTTTGGGGGCCTTTTCTATACATATACCACATCATGCCACACTTTCAGCTACCGAGCAGATTCTTCAAGAGCTTCATGCCCATTTGCAGTCACATGCCCGAGCAGTCTTAGGCATCGATGCCAATGAGACTTTTGAGCCCGCGAGACAACACAGACAGGTCAGGGCATGCACAGCAAGAGGGGAACTGTTGCTTGAGTGGTTCGAAGAACAGGGGTGTCATTTTCCAGAACAGCAGTTGCACGAGCCGAGTCACTACCCCTACAATACAGCCTTTGAACCGCGCAGACTCGACTACGTGCTGGCAAAGAAACTACTGTGCGACCCCGGCAAAGTTCTTGCTCAGAGGGATATTGCCACTTCAGACCATGAGCCGATCTCCGTCCCGTTGACCCAGATCCGAGTCCACGAGGGCAACATCGGGGGGAAGGCAGCACCATGGTCCTCTCGGACACTGCGACCTGGGGCTGTGGTCGATGCTATCTTGGACCAGCAGGCTGTAACCGGGGGCGACCCCGTCACCCAAATCCAGAAAGTCGCTGTGGCCATCAGCAAGCCCGGCAAGAACAAACAACCATTCAAAGAGTCAGATGCCCTTCGAGCCCTTCGCCGACATGCCCTTCACACCGGGCCAGGGGAAGAACGGCGACGACTCTGGAAAGCAGCGCGGAAGATGCACCAATCCGAGCATCGAAAATGGCAACAACTGGCGATGCAACGTGTTGCCGAACTGGACTGGGGGATGAAGAAGGCCCTCGTGGAGCAGAGCCGTGATCACTCCTGGGAGCTCAACCTCACCGACAGCGACCAGTGGAAGCAAGAGCTCCGGGACCACTTCGAAAAGATCTTCCACCGACAAAAACAAGTGGTAGTCACTGCGAAAATCCGGGGGATCATGAAAAAGCTCGAGTACAGATGCAAGAACACGAAATGGATACCCTTCACCTTGGAAGACCTCAATGAAGTCAAAGTGAAGTGGAAAAATGGGCGATCTTGTGGACCCGACCAGGTGTCACATGAAGCCCTCAAGGCCATGCTCCCCCACCCGATTTGGGGGAACCGCCTACTCGCATTGTTCAATGACATGCTGTACACATGCCGCCTTGTCGAGAGCATCGAAGCAGGAGCCACTATCCTGTTGGCGAAAACCTCCCAGCCACAGAACTGGGGAGAAACAAGACCTATAACTTTGAGTTCAGTCCTCCTCAAGACTTTCGGCCAACTCCTCTTGCAACGAGCCGGGGAAACGATCCAAGCCCCCGCCAGACTGCAATGGTGCAGGCGGGGGAGGCAAGGGATCGAACTGATCCTCATCCTCCGACGACTAGCACGAGTTGCACGTGACTGGGGCCTCGAGTTCTACATTGCGAAATTGGACATCCGCAAGGCTTTCGATTCCGTTTTCCAGGAAAGTCTCGCCGAGCATGTCTGCCAAGTAGTGGGGGAAGATGCCAACCTACCCTGGGAAGCTCGAGCCTGGGTTGCTGTACTACATGCACAACATCTTTGTGTCCAGGTTGCCGGGGAAAGCATCCCGATCCAACAAAGCAATGGAGTTCGGCAAGGTGCACCAGAAAGCCCCGTTGCTTTCGGCTCTGTGGTTGCCAACGACCTCAATGCTGCCATCGGGGAAGCGAGGAGCTCTAAACCAACGACAGACACAGCCCCCCCCGAAGACGGGGGAAGCTACATGGACGACAACTACATTTGGTCAACATGCAGAAAACACTTTCAGCACATGCTTACCGCGCTGGGGGATAAGCTGCCCTGCCGCGGCCTCTACCTGCACCCTGGCAAGACGGACATCATCACAACCCGGGAGAAGGAAGTTCATTTCCAGGTCGCGGGGGAGAGAGTGGCAACCAAAGGGCCCAAGCACATCTTTCATGTGCTAGGGAGTCCCCTCTCTTTCCAAGGGGGAACCGCCATGTTGTTGGCGGAAGCTCAAAGCCGAGCCCGCAAAGCTTTCTGGGCACACCGCGACTCCTTCACTTCGGCGGCTACCTTCAGGCAAAAGCTCCAGATACATGTCGTACTTGTGCGTCAGAGTGCACTTTGGGCCTGCCAGACATGGCCTTGCCACAGCAGCCTATTGCGGGGGATCAACACAATTCAGTTGTCCCACATCCGGGTCATGCTTGGTCTTCGTCGGCAACCATGTGAAGAATGGGCCACATGGAACAAAAGAAGCTTACGACGAAGCCGACTCGCACTATTTCACTGCGGGGGAACCCGATGGTCAACTTTTGTGCTGTCGCAAATCTGGACCGCCATCGGGCACGTCAGCAGAGGAGATCCGATCGGGGGGAAAATCCTCCAATGGCACAGCCTACAGTGGTGGCAGGACCAAAAGGACCGGGGGATCCCAGTTCAGCATGGCCATCGTTTCAATGCTTACATGGACATAGACAGGCAATTGAGTGACACGGTGGGTAAGAATTGGTTTGCCATTGCACAAGACAGAGAAGTATGGGGAGAGTGGGAGGCGGTCTTCATTGCGAAGTATGATGTCCCATGGAGTAGTGGCAAACAGTGCAGCATCAGCAACCTAGCACCGGGGAACCATCAGACAGACGACAAGGCATTCCTACAAAGTCTTACTGACACTACCAGCAAGAGAGAGCACTCAACAAAGCAACAGAAGAGACGGACCAAAACAAGACAACTGAATAACAGACTCTTGGTATCCTGACGGCAGAAAGGGGGAACACCCTCAAGCAATCACTGCATGTTCGTGAATGACCTGATTGCCTCTGACCAGTGACAGCGACATGTGGTGTGCAGTGCGAAGTTTTTCCTTGCTTTCTGTCAACATGGATATGACGATCCTGAATCTGCTCGACTACATCCTTACTGCTCAAACATGCGACATGCCACGACTACATTTTCGCAACTCGCACCTTGGTACTCGATCCTAGACGACTTGGCTTTCTGCACAGGAAAGCTGACAAAGCAATAAAGCAAGACAGCAGACAGCAACTTTGCACAGCAGAGATCTCGACGAGATGCTGCGCACCAAACTCCTCCTAGCTTTGGTACTCGCAGTGCCCTACGGGCACGTGTCTACTAAGGCACAAGCCCCTGGCACAGACCCAACACGCACAGCACCGGCAGAAGCAGGCAGTACAGACGGCAATC